CGGGCTCGGCTTGGCAGCCCCGTTCCGTCGCCAGGAACAGCCGAGGAGAAGCCGGCCAGGCCGGTGCTCACGGGAGAGCCGGGATCCCTGGCTCGATGGCGTTCCCTTCGCATTGCCTTTTCTTTCTTTCTCGTCTTTTGCGTGTGTGTGCGCATGTGCACCCCGTACTGGGTCTTGAACTCAGCACCTTGGCGCCGGCCCTGAGCCTTTTTTTTTTTTTTCCCTCCCCAAAAGCTGGCACCCTACCACCTGAGCCAAAGCTCCACTTGCAGCCTTCTGTTGGTTGATGAGAGATAAAGAGTCTCACAGACTTTTCTTCCCGGAATGCTGGCTTTAGACCCGGATCTTCAGGTCTTATTAGCCCCCTCAGCTAGGATGACAGGCAGGTGTGAGCCAGCGGCGGCAGGGGCCTTTTTCTTCGCTGTGCAGAAAGAGAGCCTCCTGAAGTACAGTTATGACTCTTAGCTTTAAACTATCTGTTGGGGTCTCAGGCAATCAGAAACAATTTGTGAGACCTGCAGGAAACCCTTCAGCCCCGGATGAGAGGATTTCCCATGTTCTACCCCCCTGGCACGGGTTCTAGGATAGTGATCCTAATTGCTGTGTGGGAGAGGAGGTTGGGAGGACACTTGATGGCTTGTATTCTTACCATCATCTATCACCTTGCCTAGCTGGTTTTCCAGGCATGTAACCAGAACCTAGAGTGACTTGAATAAAAACCAGTGGCGGGGGGCTGGGAACGTGGCTTAGCAGTAGAGTGCTTGCCTAGCATGCATGAAGCCCTGGGTTCGATTTCTCAGTACCACATACAAGGAAAAAGACTGAAGTGGTGCTGTGGCTTAAGTGATATAGCCTTGAGCAAAAGAAGCTCAGGGACAGTGCCCAGGCCCTGAGTTCAAGCCCCAGGACTGGCAAAAAAACAACAGTGGCAGGGTCTGAGAATGTGGTTTAGTGGTAGAGTGCTTGCCTAGCATGCATGAAGCCATGGGTTCGATTCCTCAGTACCACGTTCATAGAAAAAGTCAGAAGTGGAACTGTAGCTCAAGTGGTAGAGCAGAAAGGAGCTCAGGGACAGTGTCCAGGCCCTGAGTTCAAGTCCCAGGAATGGCAGCACTGGGATTGGGTTCAGAGTTTGCTACCTTTAATAACCCATGTGGGCCCACACGTGTGCTAAGCATGACTTAAGATGGCAGACATGTCTAATTCTCATAGAGCCTTGAGATTCTCGTTTCCTAATTGTAAGGGGTTAAAGGACAGAATAGTTTAATAACTTGTTCAGAGACAAACAGCTGTAGGTGGCCTCTACTTACATTGAAACCTGACTCTGAACTGTGTCCACGCATGTAAACGTGGACATGAGAATCTAGGTCCTAGAAAGGGGAGGGTCTTTGGCCTGGCGTGAGCTAGAGGATGCCTTCCAGATCTGGTGCTTTGTTTACACGGGGAGGAGGGGCAGGGCCACACTTGGATTGTGGGAAGGTGTGTGCGCTGGCTAGGAGGATGTGTTCTGGGCCAGTTAGTATATGGTGAGTTACAGCTTTCAGGCCATAGCGTGGGCACCTGAGCCCGAGTAATTGCAGGAAAGCTGTGAAACATTAGTCAGCTGATCATCAAAACAAATGGAAGCTCCTGGGGAAGCTGTCACTGATTTTACTTAGTGTTTATTTATCTCCAAGGATTGCTGGCAAGGAGGTGTCCCACGTCGGGGTCTGCTGGTGAGAGACGAGGGTACTTTTCCTGGGACCCTGAAGCTCCCCAGGGTGTGGGCAGCTCAGTCTCCCTAACCTGCTCTTCCTGGGGGCCATTTCTTCCTGCTGTGCTGGACTGGACCGATCTGAGGGGACAGTCTCTTTGGATTGTCTAAAATGTGCATGGTCAGGCAAGTCCAGGACTGTCCATAACTGAAGGTTGTCTCTGAACAAGGGAAGGCTTGGAGAGGCTAGGTGCCTGGCCTGGCCACCCGTGGAGGTGCTGTCAGGGGTTCTGATGTAGGAGGAAGAGGGAACAGGCCCTGACTGATCTTTGTTGTTGCTTTTTGTTTTCCTTCGGCTCTGGGGCTTGAACTCAAAGCCTGGGCTCTATCCCTGAGCTTTTTCACTCGAAGTTAGCACTCTACCACTTGAACCACAGCTCCACTTGTAGCATTTTAGTGGTTTGTTGGAGATAAGAGTCTCAGAGACTTTGCTGCCCAGGCTGGCTTCAAACCATAACCCTCAGATCTCAGCCTGCTGAGTAGCTAGGGTTACAGTTGCGAGCCATCGGCGTCTGGCTGGCCTTCACATCTCTTTCAGTGGATGGCTAATCCAGCCTGGCAGTCTCCTCTGGTGACCTCAGTACCTGCTGGACAGCTCTGCAGTCACTGACCTGGCTACCTGAGCTGGAGGCGGGCAGTGATGGTGCTTCTAGAGAAAGCATGGCCCCGACATGGCTCTTCAGATGGTCTGCGAGGTGCCAGCGGCAGGCACTCAGATAGGCTGAGGATGCCGCATCCTCCTGGTGGGCCCAGGGGCCCACGTGACTGTTTCCCCAGGGGCACAGCCAGGGCGTGTGGGTCATGCCCTTGCAGCTCTCTCCAGGGGCTGGCGGCCTCGTGTTGCTGCCGCTCCACGCGTGACTTCTTTTCTGAGAGAGCCCAGTTCAAGGCTCTGCCAGGCAACGCTTAGCTTCTCCACCAGCCTCTCTCTCCTGTGGCTTGGCTCCAGGCCTCCCAGGGCTCTGAGGTCCTGGGACTCTGCAGACAGAAGGCAGGGAAGCAGCAGGCCCCCTTTTCTCTGTCCAGGGCTCACCCCACCCTGCATTTCCACCTTGACCCCTGAGCCTGACCCCCTCTCCCAAGTGCCCGCTCACGGCCGTGCCGGGGAGCTGCTTGTTCACTGAAGAAAGGGGGTTACCATTGTCTTCTGTGGGGCCAGTGTGACCTCAGAGTTCTTCTCCACGTCACAAACCCCTGGGAGGGGCCACCCCCAACCAGAACAATGGGCCTCTTCTCCGGGGGGCCTGGCTCCCCCCCGCGGCCCTGTGGCGGAGGGCCGGCGGTGTTGAGCGGGGCTGTCTCTCGTGTTCCAGATGCATCACTGTAAGCGCTACCGGTCCCCTGAGCCAGACCCCTACCTGAGCTACCGCTGGAAGCGGCGGCGGTCCTACAGCCGGGAGCACGACGGCCGCCTGCGGCACCCGGCCCGACGGGAGCCCCCGCCTCGGAGGTCCCGGTCCAGAAGGTGAGTGCCAACTCTGCCCCACCCTCTGCCTCTGCCTGGGGCGCCCCTCTCTTCCCCTTCGGAGGGGCTGCATTTTCTGGGCCGGGGAGAATTAGAAAGCGAGCCTCCACGTGCAAGATCCGTCAGTCCCTGGGCCTGTCTCAGGCCCCAGGCCAAAGTTCCAGTAGCAGCTGGCACCCTGGGAGGCCCTGCAGTGCTGAGGCTCACGGTCCCCGTCCCCCCCCCCCCCCAGTGGCATGGAGGGTTCTGGAGGCCCGGTGTGCCTTTGCATCTTCCTTCCTCTGACGCTGGGCTCTCCCCAGGGCCTCTTGCCCCTGGGACCAGGCTGGTCCCCCCTGACCAGTGTCCCATCCTCCTCTTGGCAGCCATGACCGCCTGCCCTACCAGAGGAGATACCGCGAGCATCGGGACAGCGCCACGTACCGGTGTGAGGAGCGGAGCTCGTCCTTTGGGGAGGACTGCTACGGGACTTCTCGGTCTCGGCATGGGCGGCGTTCGCGGGAGAGGGCCCCGCACCGGACTCGCAAGCACGCGCACCACTGCCACAAACGGCGCACCAGGTCTTGTAGCAGCGCTTCCTCGGTGAGTGGCAGCCAGAGTGCGCCGGCTGGGGCCCGCAGGCCTCGCCTCTTCCTGTGATCTCAGGCTGGCTGGTCCCAGGGAGTGTGCCAGCCCTGTCCACACTGTGCATGCGCACTGGTGTGCGTGTGTGTGTGTGCGCGCGTGCGCGTGCGTGTGCGTGCCGTCCGTGCAGGGGGCTTGGCCCCCTGGCTTCTGGCCCTTTGCCTGTGGCAGGCACAGGGGCTTTGGCGCCGGCGCTGGCTGGTCCCCAGCCTGTCTATGTCTAATACTTGCTTGAGACACAGCCAGGAAGGCCCCTCCATGCTCCTCAAGGGGTTGGCTGTGTGGCCCCGTCCATCCGTGTGAGATCACCGCACACTCAGGCTGAGAGCTTGCCACGTGGACTGGGATCCTCTCACCTCTCCCTAGAGACCATGGGTGCGTGCCATTTACCTACCAGTCAGCTTAGGTTCTTTTTCTTTTAAAAGTTGTTTGTTTGTTTTCCCTGCTGCATTGCCTGGGAATCCAGCCCAGGGCCTCATGTACACTAGGCGTACCTCTGAACTGTGTTCCCAAGACAAGGTCTTATTATGCGATCCAGGCTGACCTTGAACTCATGATCCTGCTGCCTCAGCCTCCTGAGTGCCGGGTACCACCGGTGGATTTTCCAGCCCTCCTTTGTTTTTGGTATGGAGTTTTACTGTAGTGTCCAAAATGGTCTTCAATTCCTGGGCTCATCCTTCCAAGCATCTGGGACTATAGCTGTGTGCCATCACGCCCAGTCAGTCAGCTCAGGTCGGAACTGCCTCTTGTGACGTCCTCAGCGTCGCTGCTTTATAGAAGGGTCAGCTGCCTGTGTACCGGGTCACCAGAAGAAATGGCACAAGGGGCCTCATCTTGTTGCGGGCCCTGTGTGAAGCGAGGCCTGGCCGGTGTTGTAGTGCGGAGAGCCCTGGAGCCCATGCTGCACTCGGCCCCCAGGAGGAGAGGCAGGGGGTGTTTCTGAGGTTAGATGCTGTGTTCTCTTCTCCTGGCCCTTGTCCTGCCCAAAGCGGCGGAGGGTCCAGCTGGGTCTCTGCCCAGCTCTGTCTGTGACTTCTTGGGCCACGGGTAGCAGGTTGACTTGTGTGGGTGACCGTACAGTACCACGCTTGGCCACAGGGTGGCAGTACAAGGCTGTGACTCTGCAGCTTCTTTAGGTGCCCTCTGTCGCCGTGGATGGGCCTGGCCTGTGAGCAGCGGGGCCTGTGTGGCCCATCGTGGTAGGAGGCCTGGAAAGAGCCTGGCCAGGCTGGCGTCCTGCGAGACTGGTGGCCGTTTGTGGAAGTTAGTGGCAATCTGGCCAGTGAGCCATCCGGGGCAGGTGGCAGTTTGGCAGCTGTCAGGCAAGTGCCGGGCCATGTGGGGAGCGGAAGCGGGCAGGGACAGGCTGGATGGGCTGCTGCCGAGCCGGGAGGAGCTGCGACCGCTCTGCGCCGCTGGCCGGGTGCTGGGCCCGGCGGAGCCAGCTGCCTTCTTGCGCCGTTCCCTCTCTCTCACTGTGTCTTCGGTGCTGGCCCTGGGCTCCAGGAGAGGGCCTGGGGTGGGGACATACGGGAGAGAGCAGAGCAGAGCAGAGAGGCAGGGCTGCAGCCATTCTGAGGACCTGGCCCCTCGGCTGCAGAGGCCAGACATCTTTCTGAGCACTTGCGACGTTCCTCTGATAGCTAATGTCCGAGTTTTCTTTACATACCTGTAGCTGTTTTTACTTTTCTGTTTTGAAGTCAGTTTGTGTCTTGACGTGTCCCTTGCAATATCCCTATCGTTATATATGCTGTGTGCCTTATGAAATGCTGGGATCTGGAAAATCCAACCAACCAACCCACCGGCTCCTCACCGTCTCCACCTCTGCCTTTGACTGACACCTCATTCTGTCAATCGGAACCGCCCACCATGCGATTGGTCGGATGGCGTTTCGGGGGGCGGTGCATGCAGAGAAGCCAACAGAGCAGTAAGCGCAGCAGCCGGAGTGTTGAAGATGACAAGGAGGGCCACCTGGTGTGCCGGATCGGCGATTGGCTCCAAGAGCGATGTACAGCCACCTTTCGTAAACTTTACCTCTACTTCCTACCCCCCTGTTAGACGAGGCCGCTCCTGCGTGGAGGGGCCCTAGTGCGCGTGGCGCCCTAGTGGGGCCACCAGTAAGCGCCTGAATGGCTCAGGCGCTAGCAGCTTCTGTTTAAGAGTGTAGCAGGGAGAGAGAAGCCTTAATTTGTGTTTGAGAAGTTGAATGCTGTGAACTTGCAGGAGCTGCCAGCCTCCCGCCCTCCGGACGCTCACGCCCAGTCTCTTCTCTCTTGTAGATGAGATCGTGGGGAACCTGGGCGAAGGCACCTTTGGCAAGGTGGTGGAGTGCCTGGACCACGCCAGGTGAGCGAGCCGGCCAGCGCGCCGGCTGCAGTGTGAGCCTTCTGGGAGGCGCCAGCGGGAGGCTCTCAGTGGAGACGGCTGTCGGAGCTCTCCCTCTCGGGAGCGTGGCATAGCGCCTGCGCACCCTGCCAGGCCCGGGCTCGCGTGGGCTCCTGAAATATGGAGGAAACCAAGGGGTTCAGCAGGCCTGGGGCCTCCGCACCCTCCACGCCGGCCCACACCTCTGCCCAGCTCCCCTTCGCCAGCCCAGGCCCCGGCCCCTCTGTGGCCAGGAGCCGATTGCTGGGAGCTCCTCAGGGTCTTGGCTGGGCAGGGTTGGGCGCGCTGCTAGCCCCAGCCTGCCCGAGGCCGAGCAGGTCCCAGCCCAGAAGCCTTCGGCCATTTCTCTGCCGCCTTCCAGTCCCGGGACTTGCACTCATGGTCTGGGCACTTGGCCCTGAGCTTTTTTGCTCCAGGCTGGTGTTGTGCCACTTGAGCCACAGCTCCACTTCCATCTTTGTGTGTGTGGTTCATTGGGGATAAGAGTCTCACAGACATTTCTGCCTTGGCTGCTTGGAGCCACCATCCTCAGATCTCAGCCTCCTCAGTAGCTAGGATTACAGGCGTGAGCCGCTAGTGCCTGGTTTTGTGCGATCCCTTCTAAGTGTGCAGAGAGAGGCTGCGCACTGTGCCCAGCCCTGCCCCTCCCGAGTCCTGGCTCCCCGTTTGTAGCTTCTCATTGTGGTAGCTCTGCAGCTCTGTCGCTGGGCGTCGTGTGCGCCCCTGCTTGCCCTCAGCCCTTTCGCGCTTCCTGCCTGGCCCCAGTGGCAGAGCCGGCCCGCCAGTGCGGCTGGCACAGCGCATTCATTGATAGACTTCCCGGATGGACACTTCCTCCAGGCTCCCGCCTGAGCCCCACTCCTCAGGTCCCCAGGTGGCAGGGAGGGGTGGATCTGACAGCGGCCACAGAGCAGCCACACGATCCCAGCTGAACCCCCAGAGCCGCTCCTGGGCAGACACAGGGTCAGCAAGGTGGGGGACGTGCGCGGGAGGCCCTTGTCCAGAGGAGGTTAGAGTAGAGGCTCCCCAGAAGTCCGTGGCTGCCCTGAGAATGGGGCAGGGGAGGGTGCACAGAGTCAGTCCCAGCATCGGCGCCGGGGCAGTGCCGTCTCCCCACGCCCCTGCTGGCGTCTGGAGGAGCGCTGCAGGGAGGCCGGGCCTGCGGGCGAGCTTCAAGCGTGCCCTTTACGACTCTGCGTGCACACTGCTGGCGTGGGGTGCAGAGTTACTGGGCCCCAATAATCTTAACTGGAGGCTGTGGTGCGGGGGGGGGGTAGCCTGGCCTCCGTGAGCACCCCCTGCTGAGGCCTTGCCCCAGGGGCCACAGCTGCCACAGCGGGTTTGTGCGGGGTGTGTGCTCGGTGCCAGCGCCACGCTCCGCCAGCGCTGGAAGTTGCAAGCAGCCCAGAACACAAGAAGGCCAAGGCTCGCGTTGCAGGGTTTACGGGGGGACTGCACACAGGTGGCCTGGGACATGGTGCAGGCAGGAGTTTGGGGGGACCCATGTGGCTGCTAACGGGGGTTTCCTTCTGCCCCAGAGGGAAGTCCCAGGTCGCCCTGAAGATCATCCGCAATGTGGGCAAGTACCGCGAGGCCGCACGCCTGGAGATCAACGTGCTCAAGAAGATCAAGGAGAAGGACAAGGAGAACAAGTTGTGAGTGTGGCCTCCGCCCGGGAGGCTGGCGGAGCAGCCCCGCGCCCCGCGCCGCCCTGCCCTGGGCCTTGCGGCCCGCGCCCGGTCCGCCATGCTGGGTCAGCGGCCGGGTGTCTGCGTGGGAGCCCTCAGTGGGCGCCCGGTTCTCTTCAGAGCCCACTCGGGGACGGCAGCTGGGGAGCCCCGCACAGAGCCTGAGTCCCCCGTGCTCTCCTAGCCTGTGCGTCCTCATGTCGGACTGGTTCAACTTCCACGGCCACATGTGCATCGCCTTCGAGCTCCTGGGCAAGAACACCTTCGAGTTCCTGAAGGAGAACAACTTCCAGCCCTACCCGCTGCCCCACGTGCGCCACATGGCCTACCAGCTGTGCCACGCCCTGCGCTGTGAGTGGGCCGCCGCAAGCTGGGGCTGGGCCCGTGAGGTCCTGCTGGGAACTGGCCGGCGGCCATCCCGCTTCCTTCCCCGAGGGAAGAGGTGGAAGGCGACCGCGCAGTCCACCGGCCATCTTGCGCGTGTCCGGATGCGGGGAGGTGTGGGGAGGTGGCGGATCGGGCCGGCGGGCAGGGCGGGTCAGCGACAGTCTGGTGGGCCTGGCTGAGTCCTGAGCTCGGTGCCACCTTTGCCAGGCCGAGGAGGGGGGATTGGTGGTCGCAGCCATGGATGCCAAATGACCGCCACAGCCCCCCTGCCCGCCGGCCGCGCTGTGCTTGGTGCCGGCCTTGCGGCTGGCCGTCAGCCTCTCGGCAAGCCACCGCGGTCTCCACGCCACAGGCCTTGCAAAGGCAGTGCTGGGGGCCAGGACAAGAGTGGGCGGGAGACCCCGCGAAGAGGGGGCCCAGGTCTCAGTGCCCGCCCTCCGCACCCCCTGCAGTTCTGCACGAGAACCAGCTGACACACACCGATCTGAAGCCGGAGAACATCCTGTTTGTGAACTCGGAGTTTGAAACGCTCTACAACGAGCACAAGGTGCGGCGCAGGGGCCGGTGGGAGGGGGCGTGGCGCCGGGAGGGAGGGGCGTGGGGCAGGGGCAGGTGGGAGGGGCGCGGGGGGACAGGGGGCGTGGCGCCGGGGGCAGGGGGCGTGGTGCAGGGGCAGGTGGAAGGGGGCGCGGCGCTGACTGGCTGTCACCGCAGAGCTGCGAGGAGAAGTCTGTGAAGAACACCAGCATCCGCGTGGCCGACTTTGGCAGCGCCACCTTTGACCATGAGCACCACACCACCATTGTAGCCACCCGCCACTACCGGCCACCCGAGGTGATCCTTGGTGAGTGACAGGATGGCGTGCCTGGGCGTCTGCAGCCCGCGCCGGGCAGCACCACGTCACCAGGCACAGGCGGCTGCCCTGCCCTTGCGGTCGGGGCCGCCTCGGCCAGAGCCCTGCCAGCCGCGCCGCACCCAGGCCCCGGGGCCCGCTAGCCACGCCCCGTGTCCACTTGCAGAGCTGGGGTGGTCGCAGCCCTGTGACGTGTGGAGCATCGGCTGCATCCTCTTCGAGTACTACCGCGGCTTCACGCTCTTCCAGGTGAGTCCCCCGGCGGGGCGGGGCCGGAGGCTGAAGTCTAGACGCTGGGGTTGGAGGCCTGGTCAAGGCCCAGAGATGGGCAGGCAGACCCCTCACCCCTGCGCGCTGTCTCCACTGCAGACCCACGAGAACCGCGAGCACCTGGTGATGATGGAGAAGATCCTGGGGCCCATCCCCTCGCACATGATCCACCGCACCAGGTATCTGGGCTGCAGGGAGGGGGAGCCCTTGCCGCACACCGTGGTGGCCTCAGGGGCTCCTGCCCGGGCGCCCCCCTGACCCGTGCGGCACTTGCTGGCAGGAAGCAGAAGTACTTCTACAAGGGCGGCCTGGTGTGGGACGAGGACAGCTCGGACGGGCGCTACGTGAAGGAGAACTGCAAGCCGCTCAAGGTCAGTGTTGGCTGTAGACACAGAGGGGCCACCGGGAGAGCACCCCCTCCTCCCTCCTCTTGTAAAGAGGAACCGGGCAGGGCTGAAGGGGAGACCGGGTCCCCTGCACTTACCTACGCCCAGACACACAGCCTTCAGGGTTGCTCTGCTCAGCCGCGGGCCTGCACGGACCTGGATCTGCAGCCCGAGTGCTGAGGTGCCGCCTTTGCCTGCAGAGCTACATGCTGCAGGACTCCCCGGAACACGTGCTGCTGTTTGACCTCATGCGGCGCATGCTCGAGTTTGACCCTGCCCAGCGCATCACCCTGGCTGAGGCCCTGCTGCACCCCTTTTTCGCCGGCCTGACCCCCGAGGAGCGATCCTTACACAGTAGCCGCAACCCCAGCAGATGACAGGCGCGGGCCGGTGCTGACACGGAGCGGGACTGCGGCCTTCCTCCAGCCTCCCCCTAGGTCTCGGCTGGTGCTGCAATGGGCAGCGGCCACCGCAGGACACCACGGCGGGACAGCGCGGCGCGGGCTGAGGGGGCCCGTGGGGGTGGGGCCAGTGGCCAGAAAGCACAGATTTGACCCCAGCTATTTATATGTTGTAAAGTTATAATAAAGTGTTTCTTACTGTTTGTAACTTTGGCACATGCATCCATCTCAAGGCTCGCCCCCCCCCCCGGCCCCCAATAAAGACGCATAGCAGCTCAGCCTGTGGAAAGCCAGTGAGCCTGTGGGCAGGGCGGCACTGGCCCGGTGACTGGCGGGCGGAATCTACCTTACGCACCCCACTAGCCGTCTTCTATGGAGTGGGGCTTCCGTGGCCTACTGAGCACGCACACACACACAGGTCCTGATCACAGCTTTATTGGGGTGCTAGTTATGGTTCCCCAAGAGCTGCAGGGCTTCACGACCTGATCTGGACCCCAGGGGGCCGTCTCCAGGCAGGGCAAATATGGGCACAAATCCCGGCAGCTATGTACTGACAGCAGGTTCCAGTTCTGGATTTTTCCCTGGCCCAGTGTGGCAGGCAGTGCCCATGGGCATGTGCCCCGCTTCTCCCCCGCCCCCCCCCCCACGCTGGGGCCGTGAGGTGCTGATTCTAAACAGAGGCCCTCCCTCCCTCGCTGACACCCTCGGGTGGAGACCAGCCCTTGCCCCACCAACCCCTGCAAGTCCACGGTGCCAGTCCACCCCCGTGCCTGCACCCCTCAAGAAGCCCGCCTGTCCTTCATGGGCACAGCACAAGGACACCTGAGTCCTGAATAAGGCTTTAAGCACAAGCCCCAGGTCCTTTGCAGGGCAGAGCCGGAACAGCTGGCGCTTCCAGCGCAGCTGGGTGGGCCGGGGCCCCTCGGTGACCCCCACAGGTAAGCTGGGTGGAGCCAGCCACCTTTTGGCATCTGCCTGATGACCGAAGTTCAGATCCTGGTGAGAACTGGAGCAGCCCGGGTGACAGGGCACGCGGATGGGCGGGAGCAGCGGGCAAAAGCACCAGGCTCCCCTGGGCCCCCCCTCCCCAAGACTGCTATATAAAAGCTGCACCCCGAGCATCTGGGCCCAGCCCAGCGGAAGCTGCAGGCAAGCGCACACTGGCTCGACCACAGTTTATGTCACCTGTGCTGCAGTCCTCTCTCCTGCCCCAACACCAGCTGCCCACACGGCCTGTGATGGAATGCAAAGACGAGAATGCCCAGTCCTGCAGAGGCGAGGCCAAGCGCCAGTCCAGCGATGGAGGGGCTGGGAGGGACGCGGGGACCGGGGCAGTGCCCTCTGGTGGCCAGTCAAGTGTCTGTGGTTCAAGGAGGGGTTGGGGGAGGGGGACACAGAGTCACCACTGAGGTGTGGGCCATGCCACCAGGCCCCAAAGGCGCGAACTGGAGCCGGGGGCTGTAAACCTGAAACAGTCTGAGAGCTGCCTGTTCTGTAAACAAAGCCCGGCAAGTGCGGGCAGAGCGTGGTGGGGCCTGGGGCCCTAGGCCGAGTGTAGCGGGATGACAAACTTGCAGCCGAAGGGCGAGTGGTAGCTGATGCCCGCCTCCTGGAACACCTGCTGCGGGATGCCGATGTCGCACAGGTAGACGCGGCCGGCGCGCTCGCCCAGGGGCAGCGGCAGCCCCAGCGCCAGGGACCACTTGGCGTCGATGCCCTGCTCCAGCTCGTGCACCGGCGGGTCAATGCTCAGCACCGGAGCCCGGTTCTGGTTGGCCCAGGCCACAGCCGCCTTGTACCAGGGCTGGTCCCGCAGGAAGGCGTTCTCGGGGCAGTCCAGGCAGTTGATGACCAGGTCCACGGGGCTGGTGGGCAGATCTGGGGGTGCAGAGAGAGCGTGGGAAAGGAGCCAGAACAGAGCTCCACCAGGGCGGAGCCAGTGGTCCGAGAGGGGAGCGGGGGGAAGAAGGGGGTCACTCCATGGCCCCTGACTCAGTGTCTCGGGGCCCTGTGCTCCCAGCACACAGAACATGAGATCTGCCTCTACTGACTCCCAAGGGCCTCTCCCCATCTCAAGCCCAGACCTGTGACCCACAAACACCGCGAACGCCCCATCTCCTGACCCCTCCCAGTGTAAGCACCACAGAAAGCCAAGCCACAACTGAACCTAGCGCAGCAGCAGCTGTCCCAGAGGCGGGGAAAGGTGAGGCTCAGGGAGGAGGGGGCCAAGGGACTTGCAAGCACATTTGCTTTCCTGCCTGTCACCACTGGGGGCGCTGCTGGACAGGAAGCATGGTCTGCACCCAGGCCTCCCGAAGGGGCTCCAGCCCCCGCGCTCACCTTTGAGGCTGGACACCTGCTGGCCTTGGGTCTTGCTGAAGAGGGACAGCTCGTTGGTGATGGACTCCAGCATCTTGACGAAGTTGGGCAGGAAGAGGATGACCTGCACGTCGTGGTTGGCGAGGTGCCGCCCGCAGCTGATGCCCTGAGCGCCCTTCACGTGCGGCCCACACAGCACGGCCACCGCCGGCCTCTGGTGCACGTTCTTAGGATTCAACCTGGAGTGGGGGGCAGAGGCCATGACAGGCTGGGCACTGGAGGCTCAGATCTGAGGTCAAGATTCAAAGCCAGCCTGGGCAGAAAAGCCCGTGAGACTTTTTTTTTCCTGAACCAGTCCTGAGCTTTTTTGCTCAAGACAAATGCTTGACCACTTGCGCCACAGCACCACTTGCAGCTTTTTTGAGTAGTTTACTAGACATAAGAGTCTCAGGCTGTTAGGGGGGAGGCTGGGAAGGGATGTGAAGGGTAAACAAAGGAGGAGGCTGTAATGCTTGGTAAGAAATGTACGCATTATCCTGCCCATGTAATTGTAACCCCTCTGTACAGTGTGTTCACAAATAAAATAAAATTAAAAAAAAGTCTCAGGCTGGGAAGGTGGCATGAAGCCCTGAGTTCAATTCCTCAGCACCACATCAGCAGAAAAAGCCGGAAGTGGCGCTGTGGCTCAAGTGGTAGAGTGCTAGCCTTGAGCTGAAGAGCTGAGGGACAGCGCCCAGGCCCAGAGTTCAGGCCCCACGACCGACAAAAAAAGTCTCAGGGACTTTCCTGCCCAGCTGGCTTTGAACCATGATCCTCAGATCTCAGCCTCCTGAGTAAACTAGATTATAAGCATGAGCCACCTGCGCCCAGCTGCATGAGACTATTATCTCCAATAAATCAGCAAAAAGCCAGAAGTAGAGCTATAGAAGTTGTAGAACACCAGCCTTAGCAAAAAAATTCAGGGACAGTGCCCAGATACTGAGTTCAAGCTCCAGGATAGGTAGCAGAAAGAGAGAAAAGAAAAGAAAGCAGGGACTGGGAAGGTGGCTCAGTGGTAGAGCGCTTGCCTTGCATGCCTGAGGCCCTGGGTTCGATTCCTCAGCACCACATAAGCAGAAAAAAAAAGCCGGAAATGGCGCTGTGGCTCAAGTGGTAGAGCGCTAGCCTTGAGCTGAAGAGCTGAGGGACAGCGCCCAGGCCGAGAGTTCAGGCCCCACGACCAGACCAAAAAAATAAGAAAAGCAAGCAGCAGGCACCTGCGGTTCTCCAGGACGCTCGCTGCGCACTGGAACTGGGCTCTCGGAGGCCTCGGGCCGCACTCCCCATCCACTCAAGGCCGCTTCCGAGCCAGTGCTCCGGGGACCGCAGCGGGGACTGTGTGAAGGCCACGGGAAAAGCTGCCCGGCCTGCGGCACGCTCCAAGCCGCAAGATTCGCACTGGGTTCCATTCACGCGGTGAGGAGGCCGTGGCGAGGCCTCGGCACGCGCACGGGAGGGGCTCACCTGTTGGGGCCCCCGAGGAGGGTGAGCGCCATCTGGCTGGCGCACACGCCGGTCATCTCCAGCCTCCGCTCCAGCGTCAGCCCGTGCTTCTCAGCCACTGACAGCAGCTTCTTGTGCAGCTCGTACGAGACGCTGGGCACCACCAGGCCCGAGTCTGTGGTGAGAACAGCAAGGCACGGGCGTGTGGCCATGTACACTGCACCCCAACACCACCACCCTCGCCACCAGCCCTCATGAAGGCGCTGCCCCACCCGTCCCTCCACACCTCAGCCTGAGAGTGGCTGGGATGGCAGGCGAAGGCGCTGGCGCCCGGCTGGCAGAATCACCATGTGAGCATGAGTGATTGCAGCGGCCGCTGTGGCGGGTGGCGCCCGGCTGGGCACCGGGTCTGTTCTGGGCAGTGGCCACGGGGCACGAGGGCTCCTTACACTTTCCAAACCACCAATCATGGCCGGCTGCATAGAGAGCTGCTGCTGCACCTTGTGCGCCAGCAACTGATATCGGCCGACCCTGTGACCTGCCCAGCCACCGACGCCCCCAGACCCGCACACATGCCCACACACACCCCCGGAAGCACGCCCAGAGTGCCTCCTAGATGTGCACACGCATCCCCAGATCCACCCGAACTCTCTCTGGGCCAGTGCGGGGCTTGGATCAAGGGCTTTGCCTGGCTCAGCCGGCTTGCTCTGCTGGTGCTCTACCCCTGGAGCCATGCCGCCCGTCTAGCTTTTTTGTTGCTTCATTGGAAATGGAGTCTCACCTTCCTGCAGCGCTTCAGGTTGAGCCCACAGCTTGCTGCACACTAGCCGAGCACGCCACTACCACGCCACGCTGCCGCGCCACTGCGCCACCATGCAGGCCACCACCCGCGCCACACGCCAGTCGTGTGTCACACAGACGCAGCGGCGCCGCCCCGCCCCGCCCCGAGCTGTCCCTAAGCACTGCATTTGGGATTTGAAGTAATGAGTGGAAATTCTTGGGAAGCCTCCGCCCTCCTGTGCTCTCTGGGCCCCTCACTGAGTGCACAGCACTCACACTGAGGACACACACGTGTGCACACGCACATCTGTCTCCACAGAATTTCGAGGTCCAAGTCCAGATCCTGGGAGCCTGATCGGTAGGGGGAGCGCGCAGGGGAACCGGACACTGTCCGCAGGAGAGGCGTGCGCAGAGCGGCCGCGGCCCGTGACTGTGGAAACAGCTGCCCTGTCCAAGGACCCAAGAGTGTTGCACAGATCCGCATCTGCCTCCGGAGCGGCCTGCGCCGGCAGCCAGCAGCCCGCACGCAGCAGCCTCCCCGGGCCACTTCTGGAGGACGAGATGCGATCAGAGCCACCCAGCTCCGCCTCGGAGCCCAGCCTGCCCTGGACGTACCCGCAGCGGCCAGGGAAAGCCTTGGCACCCCAGGCTTCACAGCCTCATCAGGAAAAATGGAGACTGGCGCTGGAGCCACAGCGCCTCGTCTGGCTCTTTTGTGCTTGGTTAGAGATGAGTCTCACAGACTTTCCTATCAGGGCTGGCTTTGAACTGCGATCCTCAGCTCTCAGCTCCTGAGGAGCTGCGGTTTTATCTTTATTGTAACCTGCCGAGGCTGGAGCCTGCAGCGGGGCAGCCACGCACGCCACGCACAGAAGGAATCCCTGGGAAAGACAAAAGTCGCTCCATCCACTCCAAGCAGTGCAGGAAGGGCCTCGGGCGTCAGCCTCTCCACTGGTGACACAGAGGAAGCCACACTGCCCAGCGCTGCTGGCCTTCCATCCCCCGGCCGTTCCTACAGCGTGTCACAGGCCACACACAAGGGCCAAGGACAAGGACCACGGCATGTGCTCTGAGCTGTGTCAGCAGCCGTTACAACACAGGAGTCCCGTGAGAAGAGAACTTCCACTTCCATCATGAAAACCCGGCCAGGCAGGGTGGCTCATGCCTGTAATCCTACTCAAGAGCCCAAGATCACAAGAAGCATGTTTGATGTGAACCTGGTCAAAAGTGCATGAGAGCCGGGCGCCGGTGGCCCACGCCTGTCATCCTAGCTACTCAGGAGGCTAGACCTGAAGATCGCAGTTCGAAGCCAGTCTGGGCAGGAACGTCCATGAGACTCTTATCTCCAATAAAGCATTAGAAAACCAGAAGTGGCGCTGTGGCTCAAGTGGTAGAGCGCTCGCCTTGAGCTGAAGAGCTGAGGGACAGCGCCCAGGCCTAGAGTTCAGGCCCCATGACCAAAAAAAAAAAAAAAAAGTGCATGAGACCCCGTGTCACCAGGCAGTGGTATGTGCCTGTCAGCGCAGCTAAAAATGCCAAGTATAAATAAGAGGACTGCAGTCCAGGCTGACCTGAGCACACAGCTAAGGAAAAAGGGCTGGGGCTGGAAGCATAGCTCATCTGAAGGACGCCTATCCAGCAGAAGACGCTCTGCATTCAAACCTAGTGCCACACTCACGCTCAGAACAGCAGTGTGGCTGCCACCTGCCATCCCAGCTACTCAGGCAACTGAGACCTGAAGACGATGGTTTGAAGCCAGCCCAGGCAGCAAAGTCCATGAGGCTATCTCCAATTAACTAGCAAAAAGCCAGATGTGGAGGTGTGGCTCCAGTGGCAGAGCACTGGCCTTGAACACAAAAGTTCAGGGACAGGCCCCAGGCCCCGAGCTCTAGCCTAGGACTGAACCACACACACACGAAGCACAGGGGAAACAGAAATCAACCATCGTTACATTCCCAGCGCTCCGTGGCTACCCGCACACTACCTTGCCACCTCGTGACTCGAGCCGGCCAAACGCTCGGCCATCCTGCGCGGCCTCAAGGAGACCACAACAACCAGGGAAACCGAGCCTCCGTTTCCCTCATCACTTCTGGGTACCACCCAGAGGCGGCGGCGGCAGGAAGGCGGCGTGAGAGCCCATCCAACGCCCTGACCTGGGCGGCCGTGCTCCCTACAGATCCGACCACCCGATCGAGGCGTCCACCATCTACGGGTCCCATACCGGATCTGGGAGTGTGTGTGTCTACGCCTCGTAACTGGGCAAACGCTAAGTGCACGAGGGCCGGCGGCCGGCGCTCACCGGTGCAGAACTCCTTGCTGCCGTTGTGGGGCACAGTGATGCGGCGGTAGACGATGGGCTCGGCCTCCAGGATGTTCTCGTCGTGCCGGTACCGCGCAGGCCTCTCGCTCGGGACGCCCCGGGCGCGGGCGCCCCCCCGCCGCTCGTACGTGTCGATCTCTTCGAACACAGCCGCCTTGTCGAACAGGGCCAGGTTCCCCTCGAAGTCGAAGTCCGTGTCCGGGATCTCGTCGATGTCGTCCCCGAAGCACTCATCGTCCTTGCTCTTCATCTGGCCATTCTTCAGGCCGCTTTTCTTCGGCGTGGCCTGGCTCGGGTGTCGGCTACTAGATGACCCTGGAGGAGGATCCCGTGGGTCAGTGCCAGGCACAAGTGGAAAATGGGGACAGTGCAGTAATAATCACAGAAAGGGAAGCGGTTCTGAAACCTGCAAGTAGCAAAAACCACCACAAACCCTGTAAGCTAGCAGATGTCAGACATCGTCCAATCACCGCCAAGGAACACAGAATGGACAGCCCATGGCCTTGGCTGGGCACCATGGCTCATCCCTGTAATCCTCAAGAGGGTAAGAGCTGGAGATCAGCTCAAAGCCAGCCTAGCCAGACAGGTCTGAGACTCTTCTCTCCAACCAACCAGCAAAATGCTGAATGGGAGGCATGGCTCAGATGGTAGAATGTCAGCCTCAACTGGCAGTGTCAGCCATAAGCAATCAACTAAGGGAGAGGGAATGAGAGGCCCTGAGTTCAAGCCTCAATACCAGCACTCAAGACAAAAAAACTGTACTGTTTCCTAGCAAGGGAGCATCTTCTCATCGTATGACGGAGCTCTCCAGATACCTCTCTCTCTATGGCTGCTCAGATGATAGATTACACCACAGGAATGTGTGCACACGCCTCAGCCTCCTGATGCACGTTTCCGCCTCACACTGGCACAGCCACCAGCACGTGCCTCTCACCACACTGCCCTGTTTAGGAAGCCAAGTTCTTGTTCTCACCCAAGGAGCTTCTATACCCACAGATGGCAGAGTCCACGCCATTCACACCTCTCACCCACGTCTAGCCTGGTAGACCACCAGTCTCTGCTAAATTTGGAGATCCAAACAGATGCATCAAAAAACAAGATGAGGGGCTGGGAAGGTGGCTCCGTGGTAGAGTGCTTGCTTTGCATGCATGAGGCCCTGGGTTTGATTCCTCAGCACCACATAAGCAGAAAAAGCTGGAAGTGGCGCTGTGGCTCAAGTGGTAGAGTGCTAGCCTTGAGCTGAAGAGCTGAGGGACAGCGAGCGCCCAGACCCAGAGTTCAGGCCCCAGACCAACAACAACAAAAAAAAATGCCAGCAAGTTGCAGAGCACTGGTGCTCACGCCTGTAATCCCAGCTACTCAGGAAGCTAAGATCTGAAGATCATGGTCCAAAAGCCAGCCTGGGCAGAAAAGCCCCCATGAAACTCTTATCTCCAATTAACCACTCAAAAACTGGAAGTGGTGCTGTGCTCAAAGTTGTAGAGTGCTAGCCTTGATCACAAAGAGGCTCAGGGACAGCACCCAGCCCATGTTCAAGCCCCACAACTGACAAAAACAAAACTAAAAAAGTGCTGGCAAATTTGTGTGACTAGAAAAGGGCAGCAAAGCCAGGTGCTGGTGGCTCACGCCTGTCATCCTCGCTATTCAGGAGGCTGAGATCTGAGGATCACGGTTCAAAGCCAGCCCAGGCAGAAAAGTCCGTGAGACTCTTATCTCCAATAAGCCCCTCGAAAACCAGAAGTGGCACTGTGGCTCAAGCAGTAGAGCGCTTCCCTTGAGCTGAAGAACAGTGCCCAAGCCCAGAGTTCTAGCCCCACAACCACCAAAAAACAAAAAGGGCAGCAGGAAAAGATGGACAACAACAATGCAGGTAGACACTGGGTGCCAATGGCTCACGCCTGTCATCCTAGCTACTCAGGAGGCTGAGATCTGAGTATCGTGGTTCAAAGCCAGTCCAGGCAGGAAAGTCCATGAGACACCCATCTAATTATCCACCAGAAAACCAGAAGTGGTGCTGTGGCTCAGGTGGTAGAGTGCTCACCTTGAGCACAAGAGCTCAGGGACAATGCCTAAGGCCCAGAGTTCAAGCCCCACAACCGACAAAAGAAGAATGCAGGTGAGCATTGGGGGCTAGGGTTTCAAGGCAGGTGGACATGCGCAACACCAACACACATGAAGTAACCACAACTACATGGGGAGAAGAAACACATAATCACTCCACACCAGCACACACAGAAGGGCCAGGGGGGGAAGCGATCCCACTCACAGGAAACCCAGCTCCACAGGCCAGGAGACAGATCCACAAGGACGCTCACGTCTGTCAATGCAGCTACTTGGGGAGGCTGAGATCTGAGGGTGATGGTTCAAAGCCAGCCTGGGCAAGAAAGTCCATGAGACTCTTACCTCCAATAAGCTAGCAAAAACAAAAAGCCAAAAATGGAGCTGTGGCTCAAGTGGTAGAGCACTAGCCTTGAGCAAGAGCAGCTCAGAACCAGCACACAGGCCCTGAGTTCAAATGCTATTCCCCCCTCAAAAAATACAAATAAGGAAAGATCCCAGAATCAAGAGCCGAGCACCGCAGGCCCTGAGTTCCAGCTCTCCCCGGTCTCCTGACATCCGCCCTGCCAAGCCGCCACCCGCTCTGGCAAGCTCACAGCTGTCAGCACCAGGCCGATGGCAATGTGCAGCATTGATTGCTGGAGAGAATGTGAATGCACGGTGCACAATCCCTGAAGGTGCAAGAGGAAAAGCGGGGAGCTGGTGACACCTTTGCACCACGCCATACAAATGAACGGCTATTGGGGGAAAAGAGGAAAAAAAAACCACTCCTTGGGAATTTCAAGTGCAGAGAAAAGCAGAGGAGACACGCACCAGGGCAGGGAAAGATGGAGGACAGCAGGCCAGACGCTCGGCTGTGCTGATCCACTTGCACACACACACACACACTAGAGCCGAGTGAGCAAGCTGGCCGTGGCGGTTGGAGGGCGAAGGCTCTGGGGATGACAGGGAGCCAGCATGCCGCCACGGGTGGGGGCAGGGCGCTTCCTGTGCCACTTTCCTGCCAGCCTCTGGCACAGAGGCTTTGGAGCAGGCAGGGCGTCTGGTACTAGCCCATCGTTGTGCTTATTCATGGATTTTGCCACACGTGTTGTAACGGAGACCTCTGTCCTGCACTCTGCACGCGACAGGGCGCCCTGCACACGTGTCCCACAGTCTAGCGACCCCAGGCCTCCAGAGAGCACCTGTGCACACACACTTGCCGATGACCTCCCACGTTCCAGGAAGCACACCCAGAGAAACAAAGTCAGGAGGGTCACGGAAACTGGGCAGAACAGGACATGACATTAGATGGGGGATCCTCAAAGCCAGGCACGCTCACTCTGCCCCGTCAGCCATGAAGGCGGAACTGCACCCCATTCCATCTCCTGGAGGGGCAGCGGAAGGGAAATCCGTGGACTCGGGACAAGGTCGTGGACAGAACCCTGCCTACATCCAAATGTGTTCCACACCAGCCTCCACCTTCCATGTTCTTCAGGGCAGTTCACAGCAACTCCAGTCACACATCTTAGTCACGTGATTCCAGAGGGGTCACCTCTCAGCTGCCCCTGACACCAGGCTTAGCTCTGACACAGGATTTAAGCCTGCTTTGCCCTTATGCAGAGATCTATGCTCTTTTCTGACTTTTTGGTGGCACTGAGAGGGTTTGACCACACCTCCAGTCCTCTTCTGCACTTGTATTTAAAACGGGGTCTTGCTTTCTGCACAGGTCTTTGCCTGGATTACGATCCTCCTATTTTATACTTCTAGCTGCAGCTGGGATGGCAAAGCATGTGCCACCATGCCCAGCTTCTTCCATTGAGATGGGAGTCTCAAAAACATTTTTGCCTAGACCTAAAATTGCAATCCTTTTGATCTCAGCCTCCTGTATAGCAGCGGGATTATCTGTGTGAGCCACCGTGCCCAAGCCACAAACCCATAGTCTTTCTTCTTTTTTGTTAGTCCTGGGTCTTTTTTTTTTTTTTGGTCGGTTGTGGGGCTTGCACTTTGGGCCTGGGTGCTGTCCCTCAGCTCTTCAGCTCAAGGCGAGCGCTCTACCATTTGAGCTACAGCGCCACTTCCATAGTCCTGGGTCTTGAACACAAGGCACCGTTCTTCTTTTACTCTACCACTTGAGCCACCACACCACTTGCAGCTTTTTCTGTTTATGTGGTACTGACAACCCCATGGTTTCATGTATGCTAAGCAAGCACTCTACCACTAAGCCCCAGCCCCAAGAGTCTTTTTGTTGGGGGAATGCCAATACCTCTGCTTTTTCACCCAAGGCTAGCACTCTACCACTTGAGCCACAGCTGAACTTCCAGCTTTTGGGTAGTTAACTGGAGATAAGAGTCTCAGATTTTCCTACCTGGGCTGGCTTTGAACCGTGATCCTCAGATCTCAAGTCTCCTGCGCGGCTAGGATTATAACTGAGAGCCACCAGTGTCTGGTAGGTGGTACTGGGTCTTGAACTTGGAGCCTTGTACTTACTGGCAGGGGCTCTACCATCTGAGCCATGCCAAGCTAGCAATAACTTTTTCCTTTCCCACTGGTTGTTCATTAGCTGCTGTCAGTTCTGGAAGGGGTGGATTTCACCGTTACCTTTCCATTTATTTACAATGTATTTCAAGGAATGTCACCTCCTCTATCACTCTCCCCACTCCCTTCAACTATGAGTTTTTTCAAAGTACAATCCTATTCATTTAAGGAACACAACGGCAAGTCTGTCCTGCTTCACAACGAGCACACAACCAAACACGTCACAAAGATCACAAAGCCTAGCCAGTCGTGGCGGACCCCTGATGACTCCACGTGGGCACACAGCAATCAGCAAGCCGTGGCGCTTGCGTGGGGACAGCAGTGCACACCACCTCGCGGCCTAGTGAAGAAGGAAACACAGGACACTGGAACGAAAGCGAATTCCTCCCCAGGCACTTGCTCTCTGAAGGATGGGGTCAGGTAACAGGCAAAAGACACTCAAGAGTTCCCTGAAGAACTCCAGTGCACACTCAGCCACACATCACTGCCATCACTGGTTAGACTTAAACAACACTATAGTGGGTGATGAGTCAATGAACATTGGATAGCTGACATTTCCTGAAGAAGAGAGGGGAGGGTCCGGGCATGCTCATGTAACCTCTACCAGCCCAGCATGCCCTGGAGTGACTGAACTATGCTATCCTTGTACCCTTTTACTTTCTTTCTTTTTTTTGGCAGTCCTGGGGCTTGAACTCTGGGCCTAGGCACTGTCCCTGACTGCTTCTGCTCAAGTCTAGTGCTCTATCACTTAAGTCACAGCGCCACTTCTGGCCTTTTCTGAGTTTATTGGAGATCATAGTTTCCCGGACTTTCCTGCCCGGGCTGGCTTCAAACTGCAAACTTCAGTCCTTAAATCTTAGCCTCCTGAATCGCTAGGATGACAGACATGAGCCACTGGAGCCGGGCTCCTTGTCCCCTTTTTATAACTCGAGTGCTAGTGGTAAAGGATGCGCAGCCTGAGAGGTGAGATGAAGCAAGGAATGGCTCACACGAGTTGTGCCGGCGGCGGAAGCTCTTGGCCTGGCTCAGCGACTCCACGTGCCGGTCCACGTAGCTCCTGGAGCACTGCTGCTGAGGGGAGACGGCCATGTCCTGGCTCCTGGCGTCTGTCCTCTTTGGGATGTTCTGGGGCGCACTGCTGGAAGAGGCTGGCTTCTTGACCAACTTGCCTGGGCCATTCTGGCTGATACCCATTTGGTATCCAACACCAGAGAGGCCTGATTCTGTCTGATGAAGGTCCCCAAAATGGTGGTTGTCTCCAGGACCCGGTATCTCCAAGATTTTTAATTCTGTAATGTCACCTGCCCTAAAATACACAAAAGAGTCCAAGTCTCCAAACAGTGATAAAAAGAAAGCCACTGGGGCCAGTGACACACGGCCGCCCCTTAGCAGAACAGCATTCCAGCGATACCACAAGCAGAACTCAGGAAAAGTGGCAGAGCTCGTAGAGACACCAACGTTCAATTCGTACAGCATGGACTTGTTTTCAAGAGTCTGCTGTTCATTATGATCACATTATCCCCTCAGACTTCCAGACTATGTACTGGCTTCTGCTTTTTGTTGTAGTTGCTGCACCAGTCCTGGGGCTTGAATTCAACGCCTGGGCGCTGTCCCTGAGCTTCTTTTGCTCAAGGCTAGCGCTCTACCACTTGAGCCACAGTGCCACATCTGGCTTTTTTGTTTATGTGGTGCTGAGGAGTGGAACCCAGGGGCTCATGCATGCTAGGCAATCACATCACTGAGCTACACTCCCAGCCTGGCTTCTGCTTTATTCACTGATTCTCAGTCACTCAGTCAATAAACTGTGAACATACTATGTCCACCTATGCCAGGACAGCCATGCAAAGAGACAAAAAGCTGCCGGTGCCCACAGACCCATAAACACACAATCTGGGCAATGGCAGAAGGATGCACGGGTCACTAGAAAATCTAAAAGCAGCCAGGCACCGGTAGCTCACACCTGTCATCCTAGCTACTCAGGTGGCTGAGATCTGAGGATCACGATTCAAAGCCAGCCCATTCAGCAAAGGCCATGAGACTCTTATCTCCAATAAACCACTAGAAAATCGGCAGTGGCGCTGTGGCTCAAGTGGTAGAGTGCTTGCCTTGAGCTGAAGAGCTGAGGGACAGCCCAGGCCCAGAGTTCAAGCCTCATGATGACAGAAAGCTGTGACCTGAAGACTGTGGTTTGAAGCCAACTCCCAGGCAGAAATAGTCTATGAGTTGTTGTTGTTTTACAGGGGGTCAAGGGGCTCAAACTCAGGGCCTGGGTGCTAGCTAGGATTACAGGCATGAGCCACCAGCACCCAGTAATCCCTGAGTTTTTTTGCTGAAGGCTAGCACTCTACCACTTTGAGCCACAGCTCCATTTCCAATTTCTGGTGGTTAATTGGAGATAAGAGTCCCATGGCCTTTCCTGCCTGGGCTGGCTTTGAACCGTGATTCTCAAATTGCAGCCTTCTGAGTAGCTAGGATTACAGGCATGAGGCACCACAAGACTCTTATCTCTCAATTAGCCACCTAAAATGCTGCAAGTAGAGCTGCGCCTCAAGTGATAAGAGCACTAGCCTTCAGCAAAAAAATTCAGGGATTGCCGGGTGCAGGTGGCTGATGTCCATAATCCTAGCTACTCAGGAGGCTGAGGCTGAGGATCTAAGGATCACAGTTCAAAGCCAACTAGGGTAGGAAAGTTTATGAGATTTATCTTCAATAAATTACCAAAAAAGCCAGACTGTGACTCATGACTCAAGTGGTAGAGCACTACTCTTAAGCCTAGGCCCTGAGTTCAAACTCCAGGACCAGCAAAAAGGAAAAAAAAAAAAAAAAGAGTTTACGGACAGCGACCAAGTCATGATTTTAAATCCAGTACTGGCATGCAAGCATGCTTATGTATACACACCACACACACACACACACACACACAGAGGCACACACACAGAGGCACACATAAACTATACCATTCTACAAAGAGATACTTTTATGCTGGGGAAGAAAATTGATAAGGATGTTTGATGTGAGAAAAATAATGCAAAATTTAGGGGGCTGGGAAGTTGGCTCAGTGGCAGAGCGCTTGCCTTGCATGCCTGAGACCCTGGGTTCAATTCCTCAGCACCACATAAGCAAAAACAAAAAAGCCGGAAGTGGCGCTGTGGCTCAAGTGGTAGAGCGCTAGCCTTGAGCTGAAGAGCTGAGGGACAGCGCCCAGACCCAGAGTTCAAGCCCCACGACCGGACCCCCCCAAAAAATAAATAAAAAATAACATAAGGTTGCGTGCCAGTCGGAGGCGAGAGTGAGGAAATAAAAACAAGGGTGAGGAAATCCTGACTGCTCAGCTGAGCTGCTGATCAGCTGGTGTCCGTGGGAGACAGCAGCTGAGCTCACACCCGTGCCTCAGGAGCTCACTGTCAACTACTCCTGCCAAACCAGCCCCACCACACAGTCCCGGAGCGGAGGTCAGGCTGCCCCCGCCGCACGCAGGGACGCCATGGGGACTCACCTGAAGGTGACCTCTGGCACCAGACACTTTACTCCATTGTGGAAAGGCCTGGTGAGGGAAATGGTCTGGCTGACCTGGTCCACCGCTGACACTCTGCCCTGATAGACGCCCAAGCTGTCCCCGCAGTTGATGGACACGATACTGCCCAGCCAGTCTGTAGCCATGGTTCCCATGAGACCGCGGAGAGGACAAGGAACCCCTCCTGACACCTGGGGGAACAGACAAATCCCTGGTTAAATGAAAAAATATTACATCAGGCTATGGACCATCAGCTCCTGCACATCATTAGGTTATGAAGCATAAAAACCACAAAAATTTTTGGCAAGAATATGTACATTAATATTGCTAAACATAGCTGGGCGTCAGTGGCTCAATCCTAGCTACTGAGGAGGCTGAGATCTGAGGATCGAGGTTCAAAGCCAGCCCAGGCAGGATAGTCCGTGAAACTCTTATCTCCAATACACCACTAGAAAACTGGAAGTGGCGCTGTGGCTCAAGTGGTAGAGAGCTCGCCTTGAGCTAAAGAGCACAAGGACAGCGCCCAAGCCCAGAGTTCAAGCCACATCACTACCACCACCAACAACAACAAAAAATATATATATGTATATATTACTAAACGTGTTCAAAGATGTAGTAATTGCTTTAAAGTGCATGCACTAAAGATAATATTGACCAGACAGCATTTCACTGAGACTATAACCCACTTGTATTTCAAAAAAAACCTATTATCAAAATACTTTCGGGCTGGGAAGGTGGCTCAGTGGTAGAGCGTTTGCCTTGCATGCATGAGGCTCTGGTTCGATTCCTCAGCACCACATTAGCAAAAAGAAAAAAGCCAGAAGTGGTGCTGTGGCTCAAGTGGTAGAACGCTAGCCTTGAGCTGAAGAGCTGAGGGACAGCGCCCAGGCCCAGAGTTCAGGCCCCACAACCGGACCTCCCCCCCAAAAAAAAATACTTTCAAAGAGCCAGTGGCTATATATCTTAGCTACTCAAAAGGCTAAAATCTGAGAATCATAGTTCGAAGCCAGTTGGACAGATAAAACTACAAGACTCAGCTGCTGGTTGCTAGTAACTCACACCTGTCATCCTAGCTACTTAGAAGGCTGAGATCTGAGGACAATGGTTTGAAGCTAGCCCAGGAAAGTCTATGAGGCTTCTTATCTCCACATCAAAAACCTTGGCAGAGGAGCTGTGGCTCAAGTGGTAGAGCACCAGCATTGAGCAACAAAACTTAATGACAGCCCTCTGGCCCTGACTTCAATCCCCAAGACCAGCACCAAAAATAAATAAATGCTAAAGAATCACAACCATACACAGTATATTTTCTGTCTACAACAGAAACTTAGCTGACAGTAAGATATTTATAAAATATTCTCAAATATTTGGATAAAATCAAGCAAGATATTATTGTTAACCATGCCACTCTGGTGGTTGGGATTCAAATACAGGGTGTTGTACAAGCTAGACATGCACTAAAAACCCATATGCAGCAAGACATATGTAGTGGGGCTTGAACACTGGGCCTGGACGCTGTCCCTCAGCTCTTCAGCTCAAGGCTAGCACACTACTACTCGAGCAACAGAGCCACTTCTGGTTTTCTGGTGGTTAACTGGAGATAAAAGAGTCTCAAGGACATTCCTGCCCAGTCTGGCTTTGAACTGCGATCCTCAGATCTCAACCTCCAGAGTAACTAGGATGACATGCATGAGCCACTGGCACCTGGCTCCTTTAGCTTTTTTACTCAAGGCTGGAACTCTGCCACTTGAAGCACAACTCCACGTAAGGCTCTTCAGTGGTAAACTGGAGGTAAGTCTCATAGACATTTCATGCCCACGATGACTTCATACTGTAATCCTCAGATCTCAGCATTCTGAGTAGTTGGGACTACAGGCATGAGCACCAGCACCTGGTAACAGCCACTCAAACAAACTGGCATATACATGCCATGGGAGAAAAAAAGTACAAAGACCTTCCAATGATCAGACTCTATATAATGACATTTGTGTAATTTCTTGTAATTTCTTAAAATAGTATGTGAGGGGGCTGAGAATGTGGCTTACTGGCAGAGTGCTTGCCTAGCATGCATGAGACCCTGGGTTCGATTCCTCAGTACCACATAAACAGAAAAAGGCAGAAGTGGTACTGTAGCTGAAGTAGTAGAGTGCTGGCCTTGAGCAAAAGCAGCTCAGAGACAGGGACTGGGTAGGTGGCTCAGTGGTAGAGTGCTTGCCTTGCATGCATGAGGCCCTGGGTTCGATTCCTCAGCACCACATAAGCAAAAGGAAAAAAGCCGGAAGTGGCACTGTGGCTCAAGTGGTAGAGTGCTAGCCTTGAGCTGAAGAGCTGAGGGGCAGCGCCCAGGCCCAGAATTCGGCCCCATGACCGGACCCCCCCCCAAAAAAAAAACACAAAAAAAGAAGCTCAGAGACAGTGCCCAGACCCTGAATTCAAGCCCTAGGACTGGAGGGGAAAAAAAAACAAAACAAAAACTGCATATGATCTATAACTAACCTGAAATAAAAGTTTAAAACAAGTATGCCAAACAGGAGGTTGGTGGCTAACACTTGTAATCCTACCAACTCAAGAGACTGAGATCTGAGGATTGTGCTTCAAAGCCAGCCTGGACAGGAAACCACCAAAAGCTGGGAGTTCAGCTGCTGCTCAAGTGGTAACATTAGCATTGAGAAGAAAAAAAAAAGTTGGGGGATAGGGCCAGGCCCGAAGTGAAGCCCCAGGTTCATTACCAATAAAGAAAGAAAAATGGAAGATATTAGAGGGTTTCACTAGTAAACACTACTGTCTACAAACCATGGTGAGAAGCCGCCAGTTCCTGGTTGTGTGTGTGTGCACGCACACACATGCACGGGCCAGTCCTAGAACTGGTGCTCTACCACTTGGGCCACAGCTCTACTTCCTCCATTTCTAATAAGCAGCCAATCATCAATACCTCACAAAAGGTTCTGACGATAAGAACTAGCAGACTTGGCAAGGGCGCCGAGATGAATCAAAGGGAAGTGGCCGGGATTCCACAGCTGTGCGCTGGCAGGTGATTTCTCAGCCACCTCCCCGTCGCCCCCTCACACACCCCCAGCTCACCCCCGTCCGCGCTCTTCCCAGACACTGGGCACCATTCAAAAGGGAAAGGCACCCGGAGAGCCGGGCGCCGGTGCTCACACCTGTAATCCTAGCTCCCTGAGATCTGAGGACTGAGGCTCGATGACAGCCGGGGCAGGAAAACCCGCCAGACTCTCCTTTCCAATTAGCCAAAAGGGGGAAAAACAAAAAAGGCTGGAAATGGAGCTGCGGCCCGAGCGGTGCGGTAGCAGCTCCGAACGCAAACGCTCAGCCAGAGAGCCACGCCCGGAGCCCAAGGCCCAGCAGAGACACCAAAACCAGGGGAAACTGAGGCAGGGAACGACGTCGTCCCCCTCCCCGACCACTGGTGTGCGAGGACCCGGGGGCCGCCTCCGCTCCCAGGGCCCCAGCACCAGGCCCCCGGTACCAGGCCCGGGACCCGCGCGCTCCGAGGCCCCCGGCTCCCGTCAGGCCCACCAGGCCCGGCCTCCCCA